CCCCGCCCCTTCCCGGCCTCGCTCAGCCCGGTGGGCTGCAGCGGCCGGCCCCGGCCCTGGAAGCCAGCCCAGAGCCGTGCCCCCAGTGCCGGCACGCCTTGTCGGGCTGCGCAGGCAGCCTCGCAGCGAGCAGGGCGCGGAGAGGTTCATTTTAGGTGAAGGAATGTCATTTCGCTACTAAATGGTTAGTCTAATTTGATCTTTATTATGCTGTGGATTAGGGCTGATTCATATTAAACACTAGTGCAGTTAATATAACTCCGGAACGTGTCCCACTGTATGTACAGCAGCCGCTGTTACAGCCCCGCCGCTTCCCGCCGCCCACAGGTCATGGATTAATTTAATTAACAGGGAAGTTTGCTAGCGCTCGCCCGCAGCCCCTCTGCTTTACAAATAATTTATACTCGGTTCCGCGGATTTTTATTCAAGTGACAGCATTTTATTTTACTCTAAAAGGGATCTGAATATTTTATGTTCTGTCGGAGGCTTCTGTATACGAACCTCTCCGAGGCAGCTTCAAACCCAAGGGATTTTTTTTTTTTTAATCTACGGGAATTACCTCAATAGGGACAATGTATCAGATTCTCTTACCCCCTCCTCCTACTCCCCCCAATTTAACAGCCTAAACTATCCATATGAAAGTTAATCGTCGTGATCCCCATTGTCGGTTGTATAAATCCAAGCTCAAGCCAGCCTCCAAGACACGGCAACAATTCTGATAAATTGTCCTGCTCGGCTAACTACACAAGAATGGCTTTTATAATTAAAAGGGGAGCTGAGTTAAATCAACAGCTCCTAAGCCCTTCTCAACAGGGCTAGAATGGGAGAAATGTGGCGACCTGATTTCTTTAAGTAGCAGCTCTTTGTAGCCCATTCATAATCCTAGATATGGAAACCCCTCCTGCACAAAGTCAGCTGCCAACCAAAAAAAAAAAAGGGGGGGGGGAAAGTTTATTCAGATGCTCAAAGTCCATCTTTTTTTCCAGTCTAACATAACCCGGGCACTTTATAACCAAACAGACAACTCCGTTTCCAATTAAAGTGGAATTAGGAAACTCAATCAAATTAGCTCACTATTAAAGCCCTTCTTTATTAAACCGTTTTATTGTAGTAATATTAAGTTTCACCCGCTCTTGGAACACGAGACTTTAAAAAAGTTTCCCTTGCGGTATTGATTTGGCTGCTCCCAGGATGGATCAGGGTCAAAAGTATTTACCTGGGTGTAATCTGTAATATTTACTTCTTTTTTTTTTTTTAAGAAAACCTTAAAAATGTATCCAGCTCGATCAACTGCGCGAGGGAAGGAAGAATTGCATTTTACTCGCTACCGTCCTTTGATTTTGCCCCGGGGCTTCCCGCAATAGCCACGGCGGGACGCGTCTCCTCCCGGGCCCACCAGTACATGAACTGGTTGGTAGGAGCCGCGCTGTCAGCTCCGAGCCAATGTTTACACAGTTATATTTGAAGTGAGAAAGTAAACAGTCCAGCTGTGCCACGGAGCGGTTCGGTGGGATTAGGTTTCCATACCAACCAACTTTAGGAGCTTTTACAGTCTTAATTCAACCACGCACTGAACTTGTTCTTTGTGAGTAATAGTTTTCCTGGGCCAAACACTCCCAGGACTGGTAAGAAAGTCGCGCTCCGGCCTTCGGAAGGATCGCCTCTCCGGATGCGCGGGGGGCACGCCCGCTGCCCCTCCGCCTCGTCGCAATAAATAAACAAACAGAGGGAGGAACGCCTTTCTTACTTTTTGGTCTTGAAGAACAGTCGGACACCATTGCCAAAAAAAAGAAAAGAAAAACCGAAAGAAACAACAACAAAAAAAACTAACAAAAAACCCGAACCCCCTCGCGTAGCCTTTACTCTTGAAATGAGGGGGAAGATTTGGAAGGACACTTAGCTCCAAAAGTAAACCAGCGAAATCTTTCCTGCGCGTACCCTCCGCGCTGAGCTTGTGGTGTCTCAACTCACTCACGCCTGTCGCAAACACGTTCTTACGTTCTGAAAAACCGTCCTTATCACGTACCCCTTTGCTTATCTTGACATAGAAACAATTAAAGCGCGCATTCAAATTTCAGATACGAGGGAAAGGTACCTCTCCCTTGCTACAGAACCCGCGGTCGGCAAGGCGGGCGTTTGCTTTAACCGTGCTTTTCTTCTCTGCGACGATGCCAGATTCCCTAAATATGACAAAAATCGGCGAGATATCGAAGGAAAAAATCCTGCTTAAATTTACACCTCTTTTTTTTTTTTTTTTCCCCTGGCGTAAATAATAAAAAGACCAGAACCAGAAATGAACGTACTTGGCAATTCCGGTTGGTAAGGAAATTGCTCTGGTTTGTACGCTTCGGTTTTATTTGTAAGTTTTCCGAAGAATATCTGGTTTGACCATGATAAAAATGCAGTAAATGTGTTTGTACTAATTGCATAAACTCCTTTAAATATTAACTGTACTTGTCAAATGAATTTCCCAAAACACACTTCCACCGTCTCATAAAATACCACTTGCCATTTATAAGACCGATTTTTTTTTTTAATAGAAAATAACATTTATTTCTATGAAATGGAAACACAGAATTACCTGTTAGAAACAGCAAGAATTTTGCTACATTGGAACAAGAAAGCAATTTTCTTGCAGATCACAAATGAAGGAGGCTTATTAAACCGTCATACACCATTGGCGCCGGGGTCCTACGGACAGTTACAAATATATCTACTTTCCAATGTTATGTACAGATCGTAACATTTCTGGGGGCGGGAAGGAAAAGGCTTTCAATTTGACAATATGTTTAATCTATACGCCTGGTAAGTATTACAATGAGCTGTCTAACCTTTAGCTTAACGTTAATACCAAGTTCACCTACGAGTTACATTAATAACTTAGATTTCCATTTTATAACATTATACACTTGCTAGTATACATATATATATATATGTATGTGTGTGGGAAAGAGAGAGTGTGTGTGTACACACCCCACGACGCACCAAAGATATCCATGCTTATGGCCATAAGCAACAAAGAGTGACTCATGTCTGGACAATGAAAAGTGCACCTTTATCACCGTTTTAATACACCTACGCCTGTCCGCGCCGGGCTCTGCACGCAATCATCGCCTGTACGGGGGAGCGGGGAGAGAAAGCCACCACATGGGTGTGCATCCACCCGCGCCTGCCTAGCTACCTCTACACAGATGAGCTTTAGGAAGCCGCCCCCGCTATTGCTTCTCGGGGGTGTTGTTGACCATGGGCCCGTAGAGCCCGCCGGAGTAGACCTGCTCCTTGTGCACGGCGGAGCGGTCCCGCATGAGGTCGCTGAAGGCGTAGTCCACGGGCGGCCGGAACCCGAGGGTGGGCATCAGCCCGGCCGTGGAGTAGGGGGTCATGAAGGCCAGTCCCCGGCTGTGCGCCGAGTAGGCGAGGCGCAGGGGGTTCAGTCCCAGGTGGGTGCCCAGCGGGTAGGCGCCGGCCTCGGCCCCGAAGTGCGTGGCGTGGGGCGGCAGGGGGGAGAAGGCGGAGCGGCTGCCCAGCGTGCCGATGGCGGGGGCCATGGCGCCGGCTACCAAGGGCCGGTGGGGGGGGGCGGGGGGGGGGGGGGGGAGGCCGTGCGGAGGGGGCGCCGTCCCGAGCCCAGCCCTCCTCGGGGCCCTTCTCCGGGCCGCGGTTGTTGAGGATCTGCTCGATGGCCTGTACCACGTCTCCGCCGCAGCCCTGCAGCACCAGCTCGAGCACGCTGCGCTTGTGCGCCGGGAAGACGCGCGTCAGGATGTCGATGGGAGTCCGCTGCCGGCCGCCGGCCGAGGGCGACGGGGCCCGCTCGGCCTTGTCCGCCTCCGAGCCCGAGTCCGAGCCCAGCGGGCTGATGGAGCCCGGGCTCTCCTCCCCCTCCTTCGGGCCCTTGGAGACGGGCGAGCTCAGGAAGGACTCGCCGTCCCCGTTCTCCGAGCCCGAGCCGTGGCGAGCTTCTGGGGAGGAGGTGCCGGGCAGGGCCTAGCCGGCCGGGGGGGGG